AAGTAACGATTGAAGCTTGAATGGCGACTTTTTATAGAACAAAAAACACGTGGTCGTAATAGACGCAAACAAACGAGTTGCTTCTCAAGGACTCATACTGCTTTTTCTATATGATGTTTTGCGTCGTAACGATGAATTGCGCGTATTGTTTTGATGGAGGGAGAATGAAGAAGAAGCAGAACAAAAAAAGAACACAGAAAAAGTTGATACGCAAATTGCCTTGCACTACTCATTTCATCCAAAATACTGTCTTGTATTCTTGAATGTTCGAACGCTGAGATAATGATTGAAGATAAATTATGGTTTATACTTTAGGACGGAAATCACTGTACAATGCGAAGCTAAGAGAGTCCATATTTGTCAATAACTTCACATTGTGGGAACATCTCTACTTGGAATAGTTGACGTGTACGTTGTACGTACATAGAAATAGTTGCGAAGCAGCCGCATTCTCAAGCGACGCAGAAGAGCAAAATACTATATGCAGAAAATGATGGAATAAAAAAAACTAGGATTGTGCGAGACAGATTTGATTATACCGAGAAGAAAACAATGAACTTCAAAATTTCAAAAGACTCCAAGAAACTTCAAGAAGCTTCAAGAGAGTCTAAGACTAAATTAGGATTTGAGAAATCTTAAAAATCGGTTGTAAATGAGCTTAAGTTTGGGATGCGATTTAGGGTGTATCCGCTGAAATTTAACTCCAAAAAATACTTCCTTATTTACGAAATTCTCCCAAAATGACAATAATGAACATTTTCGATACTCTAGTTAAGCTGGAATATCTACAAGTGATGAATCAACCATATAGAAGACACTATTCTCTAAATTTTCATATATACAATTTTTTGTCTTCAAAATCATCTGAAATTTTCTGAAGTCTTTTCACAAAGGAAGTTCACAACTCTTTTTAAAACTTCAAATTCTCCATCTTCTGTTAAATGGATGAATGTTGTGCATGAATGTAAACTAGAGGAAAATGACATCTACATTGAATCAGATTTATTAAGGCTCATGTGTTATTTTAAGGACATTTAAATGATGATGAAAGATAAACTAAAGGAAAATCTGTGAACTGATGCTAGCCTGTTATTCATCACTACTTTGTAAATATTCACTGATTAATGTCATTAATTAGTTGAAATCACAATCAATTAAATAAATTTGTCTAATGCTGGCAATAGTCAGTACAAATAACAAGTGATTCCTAAAAAAATTTCTCTTCAAATCTAAAATGTTGCTTGCAATCTTTAATTTCATTCTTTGTAGTATAAAGGATTTTTTTCAATTTAATATGTTGACTTTTATTCTTCCATCCAATTCACCTATACACCTGAGAGCAATTATACTCTTGAATTCCTCGATATGAAAGTTATTTCATCATCTGAGCAATAATCCTGCAAGACGACAATTTATCACAAGCCGACGTTCATTGGTCTAATAACTAATCGGTACTCATATATTCCCATCGAACACAATAAGGTCACTATTGTTATTATGGTTCCACGTGTACTCCAAATTTGTTCCACTTATACATTCTTAGCAGCTGAATTTGATGAAATACGAACAATTGATTTAGAAAATAATTATCCAACATCAGTTATTAATACTATTATTGGAACAAAATTAAGTCAACATCGCAAAAAGAATGAACACAAATCAAATTTAACAATAGCTGGATTTGGTGATAAATTTATATTTGTTGAAATCCCATTTATTAGATGTTCAACATCAGGCTTAAAGCAAAAAATCGTATAATTATCTGATTAACTACGTCCTGTTCTTGATATTCAATTCTTTATCAAATCACCACCATCGTTACGAACACATCTCCGTATTAAAAATCTGATTGGCAAGCAGATTCAATTCAATTTTATATATTCTATTATGTACAACGATTGTATTCATTCATAGATTTGTGAGACTAAACAATAATACATTCCATGATTATGGGAACTTGGTGCATCAAAAATTGCTTTTATTCAACATGAATGCAGTATTGGTAGTGATGATGACAGCAATAATAAACATCTTGAATCAACATCATTAAGAAGATCATCACGAATTCAAAATAAAAAAACAAGTAACAACGGGAATCGTCGAAAACAACATCATCACTTCCATCAACAGCAACACAAACAATAATAATACTGTCTGCTCATCGATTGTCCAACATGAAAAAGAAATAGGACATCAAATTGATTGGAATAATTTTCATGTTGTTTGGCAAGACCATCATCCTTATCGCTTACTCATCAAGAAATCATTATTAATCCAAGCATTTCAACCACAACTTTATAAAACAGAACATTCAATGCGATCGATAGTCTTTCCAGATGGCTTATCAAGAAATGTGTTGCTTGATCCAAATGATTAATAGTGAACTTTATACTTTATATTTTATATTTATTTTTATTGTCCTCCTTGTAATAACTATTTTTTATTTTCTTGAAAATGATGACATAGATCATCGAAATGTCGAATAGTCATTATTTGCTTTTTTTAAATGAATTATTTATTTTAATTATGTTACTTAAAGCCGCTGTTGTTATTTCATTTATTATCTCTTGTTTAATATAAGTGTAGTCACTAGCTTATCTCTCACTTTGTATTAAGTGTGAACAAAAATAGCACGCATGATTTACTCTAAAGAAAGAATAAAAAAAAAAACGATTTTTCTCTTCCATTCTTTTTCTCTCTTTTATGAGTTATATATATCAAGCGTAAGTCTAACACTGTAATAACACAAAGACAAATCTATTCGTACTGTTCTGTCTACTCATTTTTCTCCTTCAATTACACCGGTAACATGAATATCAACACTAACTTGGTTGCTTTGCCTATTGCCTTGATATTCTTGATAATATGCAACAATGCATTCAAAACAGATCCAAATCGGGATGACACAGATTTCGTAACCCTGCATCAAAGAGTACTCCAGAGATGGCTAGACTTAGTGCTTGGCAAACGTATCGTGGATTCATTTGCATCACGCCCTTGAGCCTATGAGAATAGCCAATATTGACGTTTGATCCAACAGAATATTTGAAAACACACTTCGTAAGCAAAGTTCTTTTCCATTGCAAACTAGATTCACAATACAAACAATAGACTTTTGCTTTCCACTAAGATGAAATTTTGAAAACATGCTTGCTAAGCAAAGTTCTTTTCCATTGTAATATAGATTCACAATACAATCGATAGACTTTTGCTTCCCACTAAGATGAAAATTTGAAAACATGCTTGCTAAGCAAAGTTCTTTTCTATTGCAACCTTGGATTCACAATACAAACAATAGACTTTTTCTTCCCACTAAGCTGAATATTTGAAAATACGCTTCTTAAGCAAAGTTCTTTTCCATTGCAATCAGGATTCACAATACAAACGATAGACTTTTGATTTCCATTAAGCTGAATATTTGAAAATACGCTTCCTAAGCAAAGTTCTTTTCCATTGCAACCTTGGATTCACAATACAAACGATAGACTTTTGCTTCTCACTAAGCTGAATATTTGAAAATACGCTTCTTAAGCAAAGTTCTTTTCCGTTGTAATCTGGATTCACAATACAAACGATAGACTTTTGCTTCCCACTAAGCTGAATATTTGAAAACATGCTTGGTAAACAAAGTTCTTTTCTATCGCAACCTGAATTCACAAAACAAACGATAAACTTTTCCTTCCCAATAAGCGGAATATTAAAATCAAAGCTTTATTTCACCTATTCACTTCTCCAACTATCTCCCAACATTGCACAGCTCTGAATATACCACTGAAGTGAACCAAAAATTTGAATAGAATCCTCCTATGAATATGCATTATTCTTCTATCATCTGTTCATCGATTATGTAATCAATCATCCATGTTTGCTTGAAATTCCACGAAATATTTCAATAAAGTCTTAATATAAATTATTGTAGTGCCATGTGTTCGCCGATCACGAAATCAACTTTGAATGCTTGAGTGAAAATAACCAAAATATTTGAACAAACTCTTGATAAGAAATATTCTTCTGCAATGTTTTCATCCATTATCTAATGGACACTGAATGTTTCCTTCAAATTCATGGAAGTATCTAAAGACAATCTTACTATCGATTATTCTTTTCTTCTGTGTACATTAATCATCTTGCCAGCTTCAACACCTTTCTCGAACGTTACCTCAATAATAGGATCTAACCTTTGTCGAAATCATTCATTTCCGTTTCTTCTTCATGATATTGTTCATGGGAAATTCATTCCTCAAAAAGCTGAAAAAATCTGAATAGAATCTTCCTATGAACTATTCTTTTCTCGTGTGTTTGACGATCATGTCATCAAATCTGAACATTTCCTTCAAAGTCATTAAACTATTTAAATAGCACCTTCCTATGTATTAGTCTTTTGCCCTTTGCTCGTGTATCATATTTACATCACCAAACACTTGCTTCAAAGTCGTCGAGATATGCTAAAAATACCTTGATATCAATTATTCATCTGTTATGTGTTCATTGACGATGTCATAATCTTTGCATGTTTCCAAGGAAGTTATGTGAATATTTGCATCGTATCTTCCTACGGGTTATTCCTTCCGATGAACGCGATCATCATGTAGTAAAACCAAATTTTTTTTCTACGAAACGGAAGAATATTTGAATAGAATCTTTATTAGACTTATTAATGGCTCATGTAAGATTCTACTAGGTACTGTACTACACGTTACTGTTTGAAGTGATTGCAATATCTGAAGAAGATCTTAATATGATTTACTCATTCCGTGTGTGATGTTTGACAATTTTATGTACTTCAGGCTTCCCTTCGAGGTCATTGCAATATGTATATAGGAAATTTGTCTAAAATATTCATTTGCATCTAATATTCGACCAGAAAACGTGCTTCACATTTTGTTTTCAACTAAATGACATTTTCAAATTGAAGCTTAATTTGAATTTTTCAATCTCCGTCTAGTATTCATAACAAAACCGTACTTCAAATATTGTTTTGAAGTAAGTGAGGTATCTGACTCAAAGCTTCTTTTAGATTATTCATTATCCAAGCTTTATTCGAATGTATTGCATGAATCAGATTTTATTTTGAAGGAGGTGAGATAATTCAATAGAACCTTCATTGCAACTACTCAATCGCCGTGGAACATTAGATCATATTACCTACTTCAGATATTATTTTGACCTAAGTGAAATATTTGAAAAGACCCTTCTTTTGAATTATTCATTCCTCGTGGAATATACCAATATATCAGATACTCCAGATTTTACTTTGAAGTAAGTAAAATATTTCAATCGAAGCTTACTTTAAATTGTTTCTTGTTCATGGAATATTAAGTCACGTCAAGGTACGCAGATTTTATTGTTAATTAAATGAAATACTTGAATGCGAGCTTTTTATCAATTATTCATTCTCTGCAGAAAATCCGACCTAATTACGCACTTCAAGTTTCAGTTTGAAGTAAATGAAATATTTGAATTCAAGTATGTTTTGAGTTATTCATTCCCCGTAGAATATTCAACCATCTTACATATTACAAATTTCCTTTTGCACTAAATGGAGTATTCCAATAGAAGTTTCCTTTAAATTATTCTCTCTCTCCATAGGGTATTCGACGACATTACCTACTGCAGATTTTATTTTGAAGTCAGTCAAATAATTGAACAAAAACTTTATTTGAACTACTCATTATTTCTGAAATATTATGCTATTTGATGTACTTCAGCTTTTACTTTGAAGGAACCAAAATACTTTAATAAAAATTTAGTATGAATAGTTCATTCTCCGTGAAATCTTGTACAATATTACGTAATTCATGTTTTATTTCGAAATAAGTGAAATATTTGATTTCAAGCATAATTTGAATTTTTCATTTTCCATAAAATATTCGACCATATTACATATTTAAGGTTTAATTTTGCACTAAGTGAAATATTTGAAGAGAAGCTTCCTTCATATTATTCCGCGTCTGTGAAACATTCGACGATATTACCAACTTCATATTTGATTTACAAGTAAGTGATAATTTGAACAGAAGCTTAATTTGAAATATTCATTCTCCGTGGAATATTCAACCATAATACACATTACAGATTTTATTTTGTAGTAACTGAAACATTTGTATTGAACTTTGGTTTGAATTATTCATTCGTGATGGGACATTCAATAATATGACATATTTCAGATTTTATTTTGAAGTAAATGATATGTCTGAATCGAAGCTTGATTTGAGTTATTCATTTTATGCTAAGTATTCGATTACATTACGTAATCCAGAATTTGTTTTTGAAATAAGTGAAATATTACAACAGATACTTTATTTGAATCATTCTCTCTTCGTTGAATATTTAATAAAATTCCGAAGTTCAGATTTTATTGTGAAGCTGATGAAATATTTGAGTAGACGCATGGTTTGCATCATTCATTCTTCTTGGGACTTTGAACCATACTACGTACTACAGATTTTGTTTTAAAGTAGTTTACATATCGGAACAGACGGTTAGTTTGAATTATTCATTCTTTGTCGACCATTTAAACATATCACGTATTCTAGATTTTATTTTTCATTAAGTGAAATAGTTGGATGGAAAGTTACTATGGTTAGTTCATTCTCTGTGGAGTAATTTAGAATATGACATTTTTCAGGTTTTCTTTTGAAATAAGTGTAATATTTGAAAAGAACTTTTTTTTGACTGATTCGTTCTCCGTAGAATAATTTAATATATATGATAGTGCAGGTTTTATTTTGAAGTAAATGAAATATTTGAATAGGAGC